TGTTTTCCTATTAGAAATGAAATATAGGGTGAAAAAAGCAATTAAAGCTTCCCACCTACTGATTAAGCAAAGACAAAGATGAACAAACTTGATAGTATTTAGGTTTAGAAGATAAGTTTATGGGGAAAATAAGATCCAAGTACATCAAGGAAGATAGAGATAAGGATTTCAAGTCACAAACATGCAATCATGAAGTTAGGACCTCCTCAATGCAATTCTCAAAATCAATCACCAAAGAAAATATTCATAAACTTTGCAACTTTTCCTCAAGTCACCAAACAAAAAAAAAAAAGTAATACTATTATTACTGTAAATTAAAAGCATTTGAGTTCCCAAAAGCTAAAATTACTAGCCCATGTTCCAATTTTTTTTTTTTAAAAAAGAAGCTTTTTTAAAGAAAGAAAAATCATGGGATTTTAAAGAGATTCAATAATTTCAATAGACATCATGAAAAGAAGTTCACTAAAGTGAAATCAATAGGGTTGACACATTAAAGTTCCAACATTATGCCTAAAAAGAAACATAAAACTGAAGGGATTAGTGACAATTTTCTAATCTATGAAACATGGGCTTTGTTTTTCAATAATTGTTGGGGTTTGTCTTTCTCATTTTTATTTAAAGCTAAATAAAAGAAGAAAAAGATTCAAATACTATTTGATTATGGAAAAGAGATAATTATGGTAGGTTTGGCCCTATTTGTGTTTTGAGGAAAGTGGAAATTAATTAGGGCTGGTTTTTTTTAACTTTTTGATTATCGGTTGCTTGTTCTTGAATATAGCGATTCTGTTGGCAACAGCCCTGCAGCTTTCACTACTAGAATTAAAGTTATTATTAATGAATTTTTATTAATGGAATTTTTTATTTGTAAGTATCCATAGATAATCGATGGAATATCAATGAAATAAGAAGATGGAAGATGCCTTTGGTTATCGGTCATTCCTACTATGCATATTTGTATTCTTCTTTATGTTAATTGTACTTTGAATTTAGGGATTTATTATTATACTATAATTTAATATTAATTTTATTATTATACTTTTATTTTATTGAATTGTGACATTGTCTTTTTAATTTTTAATTTTTTGAAAAAATAAAATTAATTAAAATATTTCACAAAATATTCTATAAATACAAATGATAAATTTTGTTAAACCTTCTATTTCATTGATATTGAAAAAAAAAATAGCAAAAATAAAATATTTTAACGAACTTTCTGTTAATACAAATGAAAATTTTTTCTTTAATTCTTTTACTTTATACACAAATTTCAATAAAATTTAAAGTAAAATGAATGTAAGTGGTTTTTCCTCTCTTTTGCACCAAAAAAAAAAAACATTGAAAATTTCAATATTGATTAATAATACAATACCAAATTTGACCTTAATCCCTTGAATACATTATAGATTTTGAACCTTAATCCCTTGAACATATTATAAATTAATTCTTTTAATTTATACTAAGTCTTGTTTTTTTAAAAATTATGTTATAATTACTAAAAAAGGTGAATGATATTTATTTGAGAAAAAAATTAATCAAAAGAATTATAAAAATAATAAAAACCCATGTGTTGAATTAGGAAAAGAGAAATTTTTTAGATGAAGTTTGTAAAGTTGTTTATTAAAAATCATTAAATAAAAATTAAAATAAAAAATAAAAATTGATAAATTGAAATGTCTTATTATATAGATCAAGTATATAAAATTTAAATATATATATATATATTTAATAAATTATAATATATTTTTAAGATATATATTTTTAATAAAAATTTTGATAAAATTTTATTATTGAGTAAGTACCGATTAAATTTAAATTATTAATAATATTTTTAATTTTTTATATATTATTAATTTTTACATTAAATTTTATTGATTTATTGATTTAAATTTTTTATTAAATCAATTTTTTTTTAAAAAATTCACAAACTTTACTTAAAAATTGTCATCTAAAGGTTTTTCTTTGAATTGACGTGGAAATCCAATCCCCCACTCATTTCGTTTGTTGCCTTTTAACTCAAGTAAGCAAGCCATGTTTAATTTCATCTTTTGTCCCCTCTAATCCTCATTCACTCACGAATGGAATAGCCTTCATTCTTAGCAAAAATGATAACCAAAAGAAAAAAAAAAAAAAAAAACTTTGTTCCCCATATAATGTCATGTCTTTGGTGTCTTTTGTAAACACAACATTGAAGATAATGACCAGACAAGCGTACAAACGAAGAGTCTTGATTCAACTTATTATTTATTTCTACCAAAAAGTGCCCATTTTCCCTATATTCTTACTTTCAATTTTTTCCCCTTACCTCTTTTATTAAAGTTTTATCTCTGAAGTCCTAACGGTCCAATGCTTTGAACGATGACTAGTCTCCTTTCAGAGATAATTATGGTTTGAATCAGGTTTTTTTTTGTACTCTTAAAATTTTTCGAAATTAATTAAGGCAAAGGATCACATATTTTGAGCATTTTCTTTGCCAGGTTGCACAAGCTACTAGCTGGCCAGAAAATTTTCCCCATTTTTTTTGCCCAAAGGGGAAGCAGATGGCCGAAGATTGAATGATTATGGAGATTCAAATACAAGAGTTAAAAAAAAAAAAAAAAAAAAACAGTTTTCTCTTTTTAATGAAGTTTTACATACAAAATGAAATTATAATTATATTCAAATATTACATATAAAAAATCAATAAATTATATTAAATAAACAAAACAATCAGTAAATAAAATTTAATATATAATTAGATAAATTTAATATAAAATTGAATCAAATATACAATGTAGTGAACTTGAGCTTGAGATCTCAATTTTTTTTTTGTTTTTGATATATGAGATTATTAAATTTTAAATTTTAATCACTGAAATTAAAATTTTAATATTTTATTAATATAATATAATGAAAATTAAAAACTTATGTGAAACAATGTAGTTTTTAAAATTTTTTTAATTATATAATCATGAAAATTTGTATATTTATTTATTTCGAATCAAATATGTATAAATCATAAATATATTTATTGTAATATAATTTGTATCGATATATTAAATAAAAATATATATTATTAAAATTTAAATTACATTATTATTTTGTTTTATATCATTTTTATTATATTATCGTATTTTAGTTAAATTATTAATTTTGGTAATTATTACTTGAGAAGGGAACACGGGTGTATGAAACGTTTTTTAATTTTTTTTTTCCATCTTTTTAGGGTATTTTACATTTTATCTTTATTTTTTTGAGAATTTCAATTTTTATATATTATTTTTAATGGCTTAACGAGGCGTTTGTTTTTGACGGCAGAGAGAGAGAGAGAGAAGACTCGTGGCGTCTCAGTCTTCGAGCGCTCAAAAAAGAAGAAGAAAAAAAAAGCTTCATTAGAGTTGCGTGATATTCTCTTTTCAATTTTCTATGAGATTTATTATTTATAGATTTTCTATTTTTTTACTCAACGGGAATCGTGAATTTGTTCATTGATTTCATGGCGTACGGGGTCTTTACTCGGTGTTAATGAGTTTTTACCGTGTGAAGTTTTCATTGGTTAAGCAGAATGGTTATTATTTGATGGCTTTCAAATATCAGTCAAATTCCATTTGGTCAAAATCAGAAGTAGATGTTATAATTAGTCTATATGTAATTGTTCATTCGTATTTAAAAGCTATAAAATATAAAAATTATTATAATTTGAGGTAATATATTAAATAATTTTATATTTTTGTTAATTACATATACGATTTTTTAAATTTTAAATTAAATTATTTTTATGTTTTAATATTTTATCATAATATCTATTTCAAATTATCAAATTTGATTTAATTCATCAAATTTAATTTTGATACTATTTATAATATAATTATTTTTAATGTGATTGCCTTATATTTTAACGATAAATTTTTATCTTTTAATAAAATTCAAACATAAAAATAAAAAAATTATTTTACTTATTCAAATATCTAAGTGTATGGTCACATATTTTTTTTTTATTGGATCAAAGTTCTTTTAAAAAAGTTTCAAAAAACTTTTTAACTAACCAATGAAATTTAGTACAACTCAAACATTTAAATATGATAGTAACGCTAGGAAGAATTCGGATAAGAATTTTCATTTAAAAAATTATGGAGAAATTTTTTATTAAATAAATTTAGAATAATTAAAAAGTAAAAATTATGATGATTATCATAAAAATGAAATTCATATTAAAATTTGTGTCAATACAAATAAATATAAAAAAAATATAAAATATATTTTTTAAAAAATATATGATTTTTTATGTTATTTTTATATCATATCATCATATTATATCTAAAATTATTAAATTTCTTTTGTATCAATATAAATATTTTTTATTAAAATCACGTAAAGATAATTTATTTTAAAAAAAAAACTAAATATTAGATAAATAAAGCCACATTCCTTATTAAGGTATTATCTTGACCTTAAATTTTGGCTCAACCTGCTCACATTTTTCAACATAAGGCTTTTTTTCAACTATCCTTTTACTAAAAATTAGAAATGAAGACTCTTCTTATTGCTTTTACATTTACTTTCTAAGAAAAATATTATATAGTATTCTCACAATCATTGTGGTGGGTCATTGCTAATCCATTAATATTAGATTTGAAAATTTTTATATTTTATGTTAGTTTATTTCATTTATTATAATAAAAATAATTACAATATATAGTCAAAAAATATCTAATATATATTTTATTTTTATTAAATTCATATATAATTTTTTATTAAAATTTTAAATTATATATTATTATATAATATTTAAAATTAATAAATTTAAATAAATTTAAATATGTATATATTTAAATTATTATACAAATATAATATTATCAAACTACTTTATTTTATACTACTCCTTTACTTTATATCTGAATTATTATTATTTTCTTTAAATTGATGAAGTGGGTACGGTCGGATGTGGGGTCTCTGTTTCTTTTCTTATTCTTTGGGTTGATGGGACTCATGGTGTGGGTCCTTTTCCTCTTGACAATAATAATGTCTTTATAAAAGCAACCCCAACCTGCTATTCTCTTTCTGTTCCCAGAGGAATGGTACTGGTCTGAGGAAAACAAAGAGAAGCTCTAACCTTTTCTCCGATGAAGGTTCAGCCAATCGACATCTATTTACTGCCACAGAATGACACTGCTACGGTTCGAGTCGAACCAGTCAAGCCAGTTCTTAAATCGCGTCTCAAGAGGTTCTTCGATCGGCCGTTTCCTAATGTTTTGAGAATTGCGGCCGCGGAGAAACAGTGTATTGATGAAACTCAGTTTAATAACAAAGATGGAGAGATTGAGTTCGAGCCGAGTTCGGTATGTTTGGCTAAAATGGTTCAAAATTTCATCGAAGATAGCCATAATGACAAGCAACCGCTACCGCAGCTGCCTCCAGCTAAATGCAGCCGTAACCGCTGTAATTGCTTTAATGGAAACAACAATGATAGCTCCGATGATGAGTTTGATGTGTTTGGTGAGTCGATTATCAGCGGATCACCGTCTGCCGAGGCTTGCGAAACACTGAAGGTAAATTTTTCTAAAAAAAATTTTTTTAAAAAAATGTTAGTTCTATTTTCTGTTTTTTCAACAAATTTTAACAAAAAAATGTTGAAAATTTTGAAAAAAAAAAAAAAAAACCAGAGTCTAGTACCATGCGCCAGCATTGTAGAGAGAAACCTCTTAGCAGACACTGCGAAGATCGTTGAAAAGAACAAAAATTGCAAACGAAAAGACGATTTGAGAAAGATCGTGACCGACGGCTTAGTTTCTCTTGGCTATAACTCTTCAATTTGCAAATCAAAATGGGACAAATCGCCATCTTTCCCTGCCGGTAACCTTCTTTTTCTAGATTCTTCCAAAATTGATAATGTAATATTTTTTATGAAATTGAATTTTTTTTTTAATTTTATTATTTTAGGTGATTATGAGTATATAGATGTGATTGTGGAGCGGGAGAGAATGTTGATCGACGTTGATTTTAGATCGGAGTTTGAGATTGCGCGATCGACTGGGGTGTACAAAGCGATCGTGCAATCGCTGCCGTTCATCTTCGTCGGTAAACCGGACCGTCTCGACCGAATTGTTTCGATCGTATCGGAAGCAGCTAAGCAAAGCTTGAAAAAGAAAGGCATGCACCTTCCTCCTTGGAGAAAAACCGAGTACATGCGAGCCAAATGGCTTTCTCAATTCACCAGAGCCTCTTCTCAATCCGACGACGTTTCAACTAAAACTGATAGCAAGGAAACAAATGATTGCGTTGGTTGCGGAGAGCTGGATTTGATTTTCGGCGAGGAAAAAACTGTCTCGTCGGAAGAAAATTCCGGCGTTAAAGACTTGTCGGAGACTCCGATTACCACGTGGCAACCGCCGGCAGTCAAACCGAAGAGTATAGAGAGAGGAACGAAGATTGTCACCGGATTGGCTTCTCTGCTCAAAGAGAAACCATAAAATTTTTGGAATTTTTTGAATCTTTTTTTCTTTTACAATTTTCACCGGATATAAAAAAATATGGATAATACAAAAAAATCGTATGATCCTCGTTTTACCCTTTCCCTTGTTTTTTAGTTCATAAGGGTTAATTTTCTTGCTTTGTAAGAGGCGGCAAATTTATTACCGCTGTAATAAAAGAGTTAAATAGTTATATAAAAAAATAAAAATTTCCAAAATGTAGTGAAAATTAAAAACATCTGACCAGAGAAACAATGCAGTTCTCCTATGAGTCTTCTTTTCTTTTTTAATTATATTATGCAATTTTGGTAGTTGTTGTTTCTTGAGTCTTGACAAGGGAACAACGGAGCATGGAACTTTCCTTTTTAAAATATTTTACTTTTTTTATATTTTTTTGAGAATTTCAAATTTATTTCTATATTATTTCTAATAGCTTATAACGAGGCGTTTGTTTATGACGGCAAAGGGAGCAGCCTCGTGGCGTCTCAATCTTGGTCCATAAAAGAAAATTAAAAAGCTTCCTTAGAGTTTCGTGATAATCTCTTTTATAATATTATATTTATCTAATAATTTAAGAATACTCTTCTTATTGCTTTTACATTTACTTTTTCCGACAATCATTGTGGTGGGCCGTTTCTAATCCATTAATATAATCTTTGTGTACTATATATATAATTTCTTAAATTATTAGATAAATATAATATTATCAAATTACTTTATTTTCTACTACATCTTTACTTTATATTTGATTAAGATTTATTAATTTTAAATTAAATATAATAATAGATTGAAAATGATACAAAAAAATATATAAATTATATGATTTAAAATTAAAAAAATATTTATAAATTTTAAAAAAATTAAATAAATATATTTAATACTATTTTTTAACCTATACGATATATGATAGTTTTTATTATTTAAATAATTATACACACACAAATTAGTATTCTTCAAAGTTCTATCTAAATCTTTAAAATTATATATATATATATATATATATATCATACACATCCTATTTGGCTACTTACATGTTATAAAAGAATTAAAATATTTGATAAATTTTTTATAAATTTTTATATCAGTATTATTGAAGATGAAAGATAATAAAATAATAAAAATTTTCATTGTCATATTAAATTTCTTCAATTTATACCTATTATCTTCTATAACAAAATTAGTATAATTCTTTTATTTTTAATCAAGATAGGACTTACATATTATTATGAAAAAAATTTAAAATATAACAATAAATAATGTATTAAAAAACGTTCTTCCACATTTGACCGTACACATATAAAGGATCAAAAATAATTGACTCATTTCTTTTCTTTTTTTTTTTTTTCTCTCATCTTTAATGCTAGCTACTATCTATTTTCTTTTTATTCTTTTATATAAAAGTAATTGACCACTTTTTAGTCTTAGAAATTTTCTAAAAAATCTTGATATAAAAGTTAAAAAAACAGTAGTTAAAAATAAAAAAATACGGTAGTAATAATAATAATTATACATTTTTTGTTGCATTTCATAGTCCACTTTTCATTTAATATAAATATCACATGAGTAATTTCATTAACAGTATTAGTATAAAATATCAATAAAAATTTAGTTACAAATTGAGAAATTTTTCATTTAAATATCAAATTGATAAAAATTATATAATATATAAACTAATTTTGTATTTAATCCAACAAAAAATCAATTATTTTTGCAAATATAGTATATATTGAAAATATGAATCTGATCATTTTAGTTGGAAATAGATATATATATATATATATATATATAGTTTCTAATATTTAGAAATTTAGTATTAAGATGTTATCTACATTTTCAATGTTAGTATATATATATTTGAAAAAGTGAATTCTAAGATAAATTTTATTTAGTTTAAATTAAGATAAAATAATTAAAATATTTGAATAAATTTAATTTTTAAAAATTTCAAATATTTTTAAAATTAAATATTAATTAAATAAGATTATTTAGTAAAAAATTAAAATTAAATTATTATCAATCTATTCTATATGTTAAAAATATATATCCAAATAGACATTCACATAACACATTTTATAATATATTTATATATTTTATAATATAATGTATAAAATTTATATAGCCAATATAAATTATAAAATGATATTTAACATAAAATAAGTACAAATAAATACACAAATGATAAGATTTGGTCTAAATTATTACTCTTTAAATTTAGTATAGCTCTTAGACTCAACAAGGATTTGCAGGGTCTCAGTTTCTTCTCTTATTTTCTGGGTTGATAGGCCTCTTGGTGTGGGACTTTTTTTTTTTTTTTCCTCTATTCTCAAAGCAAAAGTAATAAAGCAAATTGCCAAAAGAAAGAGAAGAGTAGGTGGGGGGTTGATTTCGTAAACTGCCAAAAGCAAATTCCCAGAGGATTGGTATTGGTCTCAAGAAAAAAAAAAAAAAAAAAAAAGATTGCTTCTCAAATTATAAATTTGATTTTACTGAGTTTGCCTAGACCACACGAAATCAGAACAATTCATAAATATAATAATTGGACCAAAAATTTACCCCTCTTCCCACGCTTCATTGCAAATTCAACAAAAAAATCAATGTTATAATCAAATAAGAGTTGGATGGAAATTTAATGTAATTAATACAGTTATTTTTTAAAGATGATATTTAATAAATTTAAATTTTAAAATTTAATATATATAATTTTTTAATTTTAAATTACGATCTTTTTTATAAAATTTTTTTGAATCAATCCAGCATTGATATTTCTTAATCGATTTAATTTAAAATGTGAATCTTTTTATATAATTTCTAATTAACTTTTATCTACAATGTGAATATTTTTGTGAATTTTCTTGTAATACGAATAGAGAAATTTTATTTCTTAACTTAAAAGTTGTAACATCCTATTTGTCTTTCAAATTTGTAGAGAAAAAATGGAATAAATGTATTGATATTGATATAAATATGATAAATTATCATCTTAAACTCTGAGATTCTAATTTTAAAATGAAGAAAAATAAATACTTTAAATTATATAACGTAAAAAAAAAAAAAAAAAAAAAAAAACTTAAATGTAAAGTTCCCATTGTGATACATGTAAAATTTTTAACTTTATAAACAAAATTAAAAGATTGGTACAATTTATTTTTTAATTTTTTAAAATATCTTAAACTATATATATATATCATAGTATTAATTTTATTTGTAAAATCTAAAAATTTTACGAGATAATTTTTATTAAATGTACTATTAGAAATTGGTTAATACATTGCTTTCTAATTTGTTTGGAAAAGCTTCAAAGTGAGTGAAACTAAACATATAAGAAAATATTCCCTCTATTTTGTGCTGTGAAGGGAAGCAGAGATGTTGAGGAATCTAAGCATCATTCAATCCAAAACAATAATAGTAAGTGTGTGAGAGTTCAGGAAACGTCTCCACGTTTTAGCCCTATTATTCAATCATATGATTCAACATGTCCCTCCTTTATTCACCCATTTTTTTGTCCACACACTCTTACATGTTGGGTGACATGTGGTCCTGCTTTGGACCCTTCCCTCTTTAGACCTTTTTTTTTTTTTCTATTTTTTATATTAAAATAAAAATAAAAAATAAAAAATCTAATTTTTAAATAAAAAGAAACCTGTATCAATTATTTAATTATTGAATTATATATTTCTTCTGTTTGAATTTGTCCTCTTTCTTCAACTTCAATTCCCTCTCACAAAGTTCAATTTTTGATGGGTCAAAATGGGCTAACAACTAAACTCTAAGATTTGAAAAGCTACTGGAACTTCATTGGCATTGGTTACCTCTTAAATTTTGTATAACTTAATCCAATTTATATTTTCATTGTAATGGAAATGAAAATTGATATATATGTTTAATTAGAGATGATAATAGATAATAAATAGTTAAACATTCGATATTATATAATCTTATTATGTCGGATTCAAATATTTATAAATAGATAATTATTGAATTTGGATAATAAATTTATTATTCACGTCAAATTCAACAGGGTTTAAATAGCATCCTTTAAGTAAAATCTTTTTTTTTCCAAAGATAAAATCTATGGTATCCCATTCATAAGTTACATTAATATTAATCTTTTTTATTTGTATAGGATCATGTTCAATTACTAATTCTATTGTTGAGGAAGAAAAATAATTTTTCATGAGTTGGCAGAACTAAATTATGGTTGTTTTTTTATATCAAAATAAATTAATGTGTTTAGTTTCATAAACAAAGTTATATTATTTAAGTTGTTAATTTATTTTTTATTAATGAAGCATGAATTTGAATTTTAAATTTAATTCTTATTTGATTTTATATTAAAAAATTTTTAATGAATTCAAATAATTAACAAATAACGATTAATAGTAATACTCAAATCTAATCGAATAATTAACAAATTCAAATATCATTAAAATTAATAAGATTAGAATACGAACATGGATACCTCAAAAATAGTGGAAATTCGATCTGTTGCAATTCTTATATTTATACATTTTGTGTGCTTATAGTCTCAAAACCACACCAATGTTGATTCTATTTGTGAACCAATGATTTTCATGCATTTCTTACCAATTTTGGTTATCGTTTGTGGACAAATATGTGTGAAATAGTACTTATAATTATAGTAATATAATTAATCAATTATAATTTAATATTTTGTAGAGTTCATAAAAAAATTATATAGAGCTCACACTTTTAAACGGTAAATCCTTGTGTAATTTAATATTTTTGCTTTGATTAACTAATTGTAAGATTATAATAAATAAAAATATAGAGAAAATAATTCAAATTCATAGCTCCTAAAAAAGAAATAGTAAAGCATGAAACTAAGAGAAGTGGTCCAAAAGCGGTTTTTTCCCTTCACTTTGGCCAACCTGCAGCCATTGAATAACAAACCAGGCCGGTTCGGATCAGTATTTTAGTGGATAAAGAGCAATTAATTTGGCACTTTGCTATTTTAAAGGCTCTTATAATAATTAAGTAGTTAGTTTAATCAGTTAGGTTCGTCTTTTTCAATGAAAAAAATTTAAAATTTGAGTCTTGTTAGTGGTTACTTATTGTGATAATCTCAAATACATGACCTATAATTATTTATCTTAAACTATCAGGTACGACATATTTTATTTTGATTTGGATAACTGAACAACTTATCTACCATCGAATTTTTCTATTTCTTACAAAATAATAATAATGCAGAAATCTATTTGAAATAATTACATTATGGTTGGCCAAAACAATATTATGAATGTGGTAATAATATTTGGTTTCTTGCTGTCAGAAAATATTTATCACTGTTATGATAGTAATAATACCAGACACTTTTAAACATGATATACTATTTTATATAAAAAAATAAAAATAAAATTATATGATTTAAAATTTTAATAAAAAATAAAATATATTTTATGTTTAACATATTAATATAAAATTATATTAATACAATAATTTTTATATTTTACACATATTTAACATAAAAAAAAACAGATACAAATACACGTATAATTGGCTCTCATATTATATTTGATCCCTAAACAAAGGAAAAGTAGTACTTGAAATTTCAAATTTCCTGTTTCAGATGATGTAAACTTCTGCCAATTTGATCATCAATTTAAGTTACTGAGTTAAACTTAATGCAACTATGGCAGAAAAAGTGATAAAACCATAATTAATACTCCATACAAAGAAGGGTTTTAAAGCTATTTTAAGGAACGATCGAAAAGCTGAAAACACTGCTGGGAAAAAAAAGTTTTTTTAAACCACCCATCTACTGACTATAGATTTTGATCTATGATATGAAATGAAATGCTGCATTTACTGTTCTGATTTCTGAATTTCAGCTACTCATACATAGCTGAAGAACCCTAGAATGGGTAATGATAATTGATGATGCTATCATAATAAATGAATTTTGCGGCAATCCAGTTAGATATTAATTCTCACACAAGAAATGGTCCAACATACAAGCATTTTTCAAGAAGAGGGAAAATATTATGATCATTAGCATTTTTTTAATTTAGGAATATTTGGGTTAGAAGAAATGCGTTTAAAAATATGATTAAAAATTTTAAATATCTAGTATTGTTGTGAGAAAGTTTTATTAATAATTAAAATGAATAAAAATATGTATAAAATAATAAATATTAAAAATATAAAAATAAGATAGTGATTTCTCCACTAATCAATTAAAACATTAAAAATGGTAGATTACTTCGATATGAGTGAATTAAATTTATTTTTTGAGAATTAAAAAAAGAAAGTATATACAAATCCATATATTCTTTTCAGGTGAAACCCAATTTGGAATTTTGTAAACAAAAATGGTGTTGGTGTTGATATCAAGTTAGCCCCATGCTTTCCATAACTTTGGGTAAAATCTTGGATTTCTCAGAATTGAGGTTTCAAGAAAGCTTGACCAGAAAAAAATTCTGATGATTGATCTCAGGACTGAGCTATCAGTGATGGGACCAGAAAAGTATACCCTTGTTTTGATGCCAAAATCACTTAAATGCATAGGCCAGTTGGTTGGTTCTAGCCACCAGTACCCATCAGAGATCCTTTGTTGCTTGGCATCAATTTCATTTTTTCATTTCAGCTTTGCCAGCAGCCATTAGCGTTAACATTTTCAAATGCTGGGAAATTTATTTTCGATTTCTTTTTTTTTTGTTTAAGCAACTGAAATATCAGCAGAAAAGTGGTAAAGAGAAATAGGCATTTGAATTTAATGATATCTGCACCAATAAAGTATTATCCGCTTTGATCTTAAATTTATGATTTTGTCTTGTAAATGACATCTCAGAAGCTGAAGGTAATCCAACATTTATATACCTGATAAAACTCTAGTACATAGTATGAAATTCAAGTCTCTTTTGAGACGATGACATTTTTTCCCAGACCAAGGAAGGTTCATGGTTTTGAGTGGACCATGACACAGCCTCAGGCCTTGAAAAAGAAAAGAAAAAGGGACATCCTAGTGAGCTGAACAGTAAGTGAGAAATCTTGCCATGCCTGAAAATCTTAAGTGACATTGCCTAACCAGAGAGTAGGTGCATAATGATGTTTTTCACCAAACTTTTCTTCGCTTCTTACAACAAGAACTTTTAACATTGATTTCAGAATCATGTGTGCTTTTTAAACATCATTAAAACATCTAGATTCACAAAAATATTCATGTATACTCTAAAAGATTAGAAAAGTCGAAAAGTCACAATAAAGTTGGATTAAACTTTTCTCTGACCTGATATCATATGTATAATTTTTTTTATCAAAATAGTCCTGGAATAATAGATGTTGATGATTTTGAATAACGTTCAAGAAGTGATAAAACTTTGGCAACCCTCCTCCCTGGACGGCCATCGTCGTGAACATTCCTGCCGGTTAGACCAACCAGAAGGTATCTGGCTTTCGACCCATAGCTTTCCACCATTTCCTTTGATACAAAAATCTTCTCCAGTAGTCCCAGTGCCTCTTCCTTCAGAGAATCTGTTCCGCATGTTAAAATTTCTAACACAGGATTTATGGCATCAGCCTCATGCAAAACATTGGCTCCTTTTTGCGAACAGCCTTCCTGAACCAATGTGGAAAGTGTTTGAATTGCTTCATAAGCAGTTGCTTCAATTCCTACATCTAAGAGTTTTACTAAGTGAGGCAGCGCTTTTGCTTCCAACAGACAGAATGAAGTGTTTACATTGCATATACCACCATGTGCAGGGCATAAAGGAACACGTGATCTCCTAAAGGACCAGCAACCAGTTTTTTTGGACACATCAGTTAGTTTAGGACTGCTCATGGACAGATTACCAATGAGAGCTGCCGCTCTGGCCTTTGCTGTTACTGAACCAACTCTGAGGAAATTTACAAGCAAAGGGTAAACTTCTTTTTCAACAACAATCCGCTGTGACTCGACATTTGTGGGATCTGTAAATCTAAAGAGAGCACTTAAAGCATGTTCTTTCGCTTCCATTGTCCCTGATCTTAAAAGATTTATGATTGCAGAAAGTCCATCCAACTCAATCAATTTCATAGTTAGTGATACTTCACATTTTGGGAGGTTGGCTAATAGACCAGCGGCAGCCATCTGGACATCACTGTTTTTGTCATTTTCAAGAAATCCCACTAGTGCTTCCAACCTTTTTGGCTTAAGAAGGTATTCCACAACTCCTTGTGACTCATGCTGAGAAAATAGGAATATAAGATTTATAGCAATTTCTCTAACTTCTGAGTCAGGATCATCAAGAAGAGGAAGAACTAGAGATACACCACTGGCAGTGGACACAGCTGTCTTAACCAGCCCAGCTTCAGACTTGCAAATTCCTAGAAGTGCCTGCAAAGCAGGCCGTCGGAAATTATTGCATGAATTGGCATTCTGCTGCAAAGCCAACAATTCAATGATGATTGGCTCCAATTCAAGTTGAACCCCTTTTTCATCAACAAAGAATTTAACTCCATCGCCTTCAGACGATAGTTTCTCAACAACTTCGGAGCATCTGACTATAAGAATTGTACGTACATGGGAAGAGAACATTAGCTTCAGAACAAGAGGAACTCCACCATCTCTAGCAATAAGCTCTTTATTAGCTCGGCAACCAGATAGTTTTACCAAAACAGATAAGGACAACTCTTTTGATTCAATATTGCCAGATGCCACAATTGAAAGCAAAGGAGGTATAATACCTTCCTCACCAAGGAGTTTTAAATTTGAATCAACCAATTCCATAACAACTAATGCTTTCATCATTGACATCCTTGAAGACTCTGGCCCTGAAGTATTCAGAATGATCAATGTAACAGTTGATTTATCACGCAGAACAGTTTCATTTAGCAAAATAGACATATATAGCAATTATAGTCATAATAATATCACAGAATGGAGACAGACAAAAACTTTAGCAATCCTAATCAGCCGACTACAACTAAGGATATTTCTGGGGTTTGTGACATCTAGCGGAAAGGATTAGGCCAAAGTATCTGACTTGGGATTCAAACAAGCCCTCCTCCAAGCAGTTGACAAGTGTCTGCTCACTGTTTAACCATTACTTTTGGTCATGGCTCTATTCTTGAGCATTAACGTAAATCTCTTTTATATGGTGAAAAACATGGAATTATTACGACTGAATGCAACCTGATAGCTGATACAATTTAAGGATTACTTCTTGAATGAATGTTTCAGCTTTCATACATATATCTGAAGACTTGATAGAAAACATCCTTTACTCTTTCCATGAGCAAAAGACAGCCTCTAGATAACCATGAACTAAAATAATCAGAAATTTGAAATAAAAATGACAAGCTGTTTAAGAAGTGTACATGAAGGGGTTTCCCAACCTTGAACAATGCGATCAATGAGAGGTTTATACCACCCAGACCTGGCAGCTCGAGAGATGTTCTCCTCATCAACATCAAAAAGCTTATTTAATATTTTTTCTGCATAATCTGCTGACTCCTTGACTGGACCCTTTAGAAGGGTAACAAGAAAAAGAATTCCACTGCATTGCTGAGAGAGTTGGCGGCAAGCAGACACATTCCAGTTTGATCTATCTTGCAATAACTCAAATAGCAGTTCCACTGCAGCCATTGAGATGCTTCGATCACGTCCTAAACAAGGAACAATGTGATCCAACCCCTGATGCCCTAGTACTTTTGCCTATAAATTTTTTAAACAACATAGTCAATAATGAAAGAATTTACCTATTTGTTTATAAAGTAATTCAACGATTATCAAAAATGAAAATCAAATATCCAAATCTAGTGACTAAAAGCAAGGCATGGAATTCTGCTCAGAATAGGTTAGCTTTAGATAAGCTGAGTGTAAAGTGAATCAAATCTAATATAGTCGAAAAGGATCTTCCATGCATGCAGTCATGTGTTTGCATTTGCATGCATGTATGTCGGTGTAAATGAATATGTGTCTATGGGTGTTAATGAGTGTATGTGCATGTATTTCATAAATGTATATGACTTCATACACGTGTACGCAAGTTTGTGGTTAAACGGTACACTGTGGTCAGGCTCCTACAAGTCTGCAATATAAAATGCAAGCACAAGAAGAAGCAGAAGCAATTACAGAAAAGGTATGAAAAACACCAGGTGTAAATATATAGGAAAACAGAAGTAAAGATTTTGTTCACGGGTAGAACTTAGGATTCCATTATACCACAACTTAGTTTTTCACTTACAGTGTCTAAACAGATTACCTTATTTCTTGCATGCCCTTCCACCATATCTTTTAAGGTGATTAAAATCTTCTTCTTGACTTCCCTGTTGTGCGAGCTTCCAAGGATAGAGATTATACTATCAGTAAGCCCACCTATGGAAATCCAGTCCTTGTTTATAGAATTTTCTCTGATAAGATCCAGCATTTGGTTCAGGGCCTCCTCTACAGATGAATTATCTTCTGATGACAACTTTGCCTCACAAGCTCTGATTTTAAGGCAATAATTCAGTTCTCTCCACTCCTCTATTGATTGTCTGAGTGGAAGGTTAGACCTCAAAGAAGTATCTTCAAGAACATCACCGGTTTCTGGATCAGTTTTCTTCCCATGGTCAAACCAAGTTTCAATAGCAGCTCTCTCACATGTAGTACCGGTGCAAAGGCTTACAGGATCAACCATTACTGTCCCACTTATACTACAAATGAAAGGTTTAAGTGGAGGGATGTATTCTTTACTTGCATCATATCGTTCTATAACCTGAGCCCTTTGAAAATACTGTTTCTTCATTTCTTCATAATCTCTTGCTGCATCTGCTTGAGAAAGCAGCTCAATAACTTGCTCCAAGAAGAGAACGTCAGCTCTTTCCTTCCTATTGGCAGCTTCTTCTATTTCCCTTCTGAAGCTTGCTAGCTCCTTGCTAATTTCAGAAGGCTCAACAGGTACCCCAACTGCCCTCGCTATTTCTTCAAGCATGTCATTTGCAAAACCCTGGTCACGTTTCTGATCCCTAAGACCCTGGTTTAACCTATCAACAATTTGGAGTTGAGAATGTGAAGTCTCGAATTCTACTCTTTGCATCTCACTCTGTAGCCTATGGACCTGATCAGATATCCCTGAAAGGACTTCAGTATTTGCAATGGACAATGCAGCCAAAGACCTTCCAATATCCCTAGTGACTTCTTGCACCTCATTAACAATGTGCCGGCACTTGACAAGTAAGTAGAAACGGCCTCGATTTTTGTATTTCTCGACCAAGTTATTTGCCTTCTTGACATCTGCTTCCAGAGACTCCAGACCCAGTCTTGCTGCTTGAGAATCATTTAACTGTTGAAGCTGCAATTCCTTTAACACAGGTTCGATGTCAAACAGATGCTTTGAGAGGACTTTGAAACTATCCTTCTCAATTACAACATCCTTTGCGGCCTGAGCTGTTTTAATTACCTGGTTTGTTACCACAGCCAAGATTGTCCCGATTGGAATAAGTTCCATTGCAATTGCAATCAATTTTTTTTTTCCCTTAATTCTCTAATAACGTTAGATAAGACCAATTATCACTCCCAAAAAGGGATCAATTATTGGATTTTATAACTCATCATTTCTCCCTTTGAGCAACCTCCTCCTTTAATTTATCCTATGCATAACAATACTCAGTGTCAGCAATAGACAACCACAAAAGAGCACAATCCTTGTTCTTTAAAAACAATTACTGAAGAAAGGCAAGATAAATTCATCACAGAGAGACCAGATTAAATTAAGTATCAAATTTACAGCAAAGAAAAGCCTTTTCTTTTTTCGGTATTTGAGGTTAAGAGTGGAGTACTGGCAAGAAAAGCCTTTCTTTCAGTAATTTGTTAAACCGTTGATTGCACAGAAATACAAATTCTCCTGCCTGGGTAGCCACTTCCTTAACCAAGGATAAAGAAAAGAAAAGAAAAGCTTAAACCAGAAAATAAGCCTATTTCCCAGTTATGTCCTACAATGATAACTCGTATAATTCCAAATATAAAACAATAAACAAAAGCCAGTAACTCAAAAGGATAAAATAAACAAGCAGGAGCAAAATTTCAAACCCAAGAATCACACACACCGAATTTAACATGGAAAAGGTCCCTAATAATTAAACAGATATTGAAGCAAAAACCACTCAGCATAAGCATAAAATGCAAAAAAAAAAAAAAAAACTGATCATCTATTTCCCAATTTTTTTTTTCACTATCAACTTGAGCAAAGCAACAACGAAAGAAACCAAAAGCAATTAGGTTCTTACCTCTGAAAAAAGCTGTTTGAAAATCACCAGCGAAAGGATAAAGGCAGACAAGCAGCTCTTATTATGGAAATATGAATTGAAACCAAAACAATTTCGATGTTTACACAGGGGAAAGAACTTGGATATCAAGTCCAGCTTTTTTCTTTTTCTTTTTCTTTTTTTTTGGAAATAGAAATTTCTGTCAATTCAGTGTAGTTTCCATTTCATGTTAGTAATATTTTATATAACTAACTCATGATGGGAAAATATGGTACTTTTCCAGGAAATTTCAGCTCGGCAAGAAAAAGTCAAAAGAAGTTTTAAAATAAACGAGACTAGTTGCCTTCTCTAGTCTGAATTTAACTTTTCTTTCCCTTCTCTCTCATTTTCCTTTTTTTTTTTTGTCTTTTTTTGCCTCTTTTCTTTTCTGTCCCTCCGCTTTTTTCTTTTCAATGGCAGTGACGGTTTCAATTCGATTATTCTAAACACGACTTAGATTCGGTCTATTTAATTAATTTTTTATTAATTAAATAATAAATATATTTAAATTATATTATATTTTAAATTTTAAATTTTTTATATTTTAAATAAATTTAGCTATCAAATATTATGTTAAAAGTTTTAAAAATTTATAAAATAAAATGATCCATTTCATTTTTTTTATATTTAAATTTTATTATATTTCAATTAAAAACTGAATTAATCAAAAATTAAATTTTTTAAAAATTATTTTCGTTAACCAATCAAAAGTAATTCAAAAAAAGAGGATAAGGATTAAATGCAAACGATTGGAGGTGTCCTCTTTTTTTTCTATTATTACTATATGCTCTCGTTATTTTTTTTAATAAGGTGAGAATATAAGTTTTGTTCGTGCGTAATTTTCAAATAATTTTATTGGTGTATTTTTTAAAAGCATTTTACTTATAATTTTTTTATTAATTTTAATTATATAATTAAAAATTAAGTAAAAATTTATCATTTACAAATATAAATTTAATATAATAATTTATTTGATAATACGAGGAATACTCTTAATTTCATATCAAAAAAATATATAGATATGATATAATATATATAGATCTAAATCTAAATTTATGAAACGTATTTTATGAGATAAAATCGTGAGATTTTTAAATGAAAATAAATAATATTTCGTAGATTGAATATGAATTTTCACAAATAGTATTAAATTAAGTGTTATACAATGAGATCGCGAGAGTTATTAAGTATTTTACGATGATGAGTCACCTCTAAAATTTTAATGTTTGATGTGATATTGATCCTATAGTTAGACTCAACTTGACAAAGATATCAAGCTTTAAAAGTAAAAAAATTGTAATATTTTCCAATCTCACGTTAGAGTTTTAAAAGTGCTAAAATTGTGATACCTTTAATTTCATATTGAAAGAATGTGTGAGTATGATATGTTTTTATATATAAATATTTAAATCTAAATCTATGAAATTTTATAATGAATTGTATGATGCGGAACCCTTGATTAAAAAAGGACTTAATATTTAAATAAATTCTCTAACTTTATTGCAAAATGTAAATAAATTTTCAATTTTATATCGCATACAAATTTTTTATTTTATTTTAATTATATTTATTAAAATTTAAAATTATATAAAATTTTTAAAATAATATTCTCTTTAATATGTCATTTAATTCATCTAAATGAATATAAGTAAATATTTTTACGAATTAAATCATCCAATTAAAATTTTAAATAAAATTTTTTTATATAATTAAAATTCTAATTAAAATTAAATAAATATTTATAACCTTAATTTCATGTAATAAAAAAATTTAAGATTTAATTATATTTGAAATAAAATTTAAAATTTTATTTCAATATTAATGCGGCCACGAGTGTTTTGAATTGGCATGATAGAGGCTGTAAACGTAGGAAGGACGGCACACAATTATTGTAGAGTTTTTTATTTTTTTATTTTTTTTTCTAATCTAAAATATTTCTAAATTTAATTAATATTTTTAAACTTATTAAAAATAAAAAACTCCACATCAGCGTTCTATTTCACATCATCATCTCTTACTTCAACAGGACGGCAATCTTAAAAAACGAAATCACATTGGAAAGGGAAGTTAAGAAGGGAAAAGTGGCAGCAGCTGGGGATCGGAAATCATAAATAAAATGTTTGAATTAAGAAAAGAAGGAAGTGCTAGATTCCAAAAAAAAAAAAAATTGTTTAACAGGATTTATCAATAGAACGAATCGAATTTGACTGACCGGCCCTGGATCTCAAACAGTACTGTTAATAGCGCACATGCAATTACAAAACTTTTTTGTCATTGGATCATTATCTGCAACAACAGCAAACCAAATTGTTGGCGGTACCAGACGATCTCGACGCTAAATTTGGCTTGCCATAAGGTAATCCAACTTTTTTTTTAAAATAAAAGTTTAAAGTAAGAAAAAGTTATTTCATCTTCTAAATTAATATAAACCATCAATCCAATTAAAATTTATGAATTTATTACACTTTCACTTTCGTATTTTTTGAATTTACATATTACTTATCAACTTAAGATCGTAGGAGAATTTGAACTTAGACATTTAACATTCAACCCTTGTCGTTTCTGTCATCTATCGTTGAATAATCCACGTTCCATTGGCAAGAAGAATAAGGATAAATAGAGCCTTGAATTTTCAAGTAAACAAGTATCTTAAGTTCTGTAAAATTTACACGAAAAAGAAATTTCAAGTGAAATGCAAAAATATTGACTTCTCTTTGTTATTGTCTTATTTTCTGAGCATACGTCATATTTTGGAAATGATTTGAAAATTTTTAGAAAAATAGCTAATAGACCGCACGGGAGAGAGTTAGAGAGAGCATTGGACAGAAGAAAAGAGGTTCTGACGTGAAAAAAAGGAAAAAAAAAACCTGATGTGAAGTTAATTGAGTAAAAAGCACCTTAGTTGTGAAATAAAGTTTTTAAGTACTTAACTAGAGAATTACGATTTAGAAATTCCTTAGTTTGACAAAAAAAACTCAATTATTGTAGGAGCGGGCCTCGGATCAATTTGATTGTTAGATTAAGACTTGAAGCCTTGGAATATACTAATTTGTAAGGCCACAAAAATAGTCACTTATCTGTCACGATTAACAGTAGGATTCAGCAAAAAATCAAAAACCAATTTAAACTGTGATGTTGGTTTGATTTGGTTTCAGATTTTGTTATATATTTCAATTCAATTTCTAGTTTAGAAGGATGGAATTGAAATTATTCGAGCCGCATTGAAAATTATATTTTTATTATTTTTATATTAATTTGTTATTTTTCATAAAATAAAATGTTAAGTTATTTATAAATTTAACTAAAGAATAGTTTTTAAAAAATAAAATTGTTATATTTTGAAAATCTAAAAACAGAACTAATTCAATTTATAAAATTTATCTTTTTTTCATCACAGAGCTAAATATTTATCAACCCTAATTCAAAACATTAATTGAAAGGCTTTTGAACCTTCCCTTTCGCTTCAACATCGATATTTTCAAATATAGACTACCCCCCTTTTAAGCTCTGCTTAGTGGAGACGACGGAAAGAAGTGAAAATCGAAAACTTGTTAATTTAATGATTAAAGATCGTAAATAACAAATTTTTCATACTTACCCCTTTCCGTCCTCTCTACCAAAAACCTAAGAGCATTGCATATATAACAGGGATTCATTACACCATAGTAAGACATAAACATTAGGCTGGGCATAAAGTTAACTACTATCTTCCAAGTTCGTTACCAAAACCAGAAAGTCCGTCTATCATGCGACTTTGCCATTGCCATTGCCTTGAAAATAGGGCATAACAAGTGTACATCGCATAAATAGGAGGGCACCCAATTCAATCAAGCGTACAATAAGAAAGATTTGACAAGGTATTTCCACGGTTAAGTTGTAAATGGAGTTCAGTAAAGGAAATAAAGAAATGGGAAACTGCTCTATCAAATATTTAACAAACATTTTACCATTAAAAGACTGAATTTCCAAGATGAGCAAGCAAAGCAATAAATTGGTCTTTTAAATTACGAACATTAATGTTATATGAACCAGACATAGTGTTTCTTTTCCAGATAAAAAGCACAATAGTTGTTATAGCATGTTAGCAATGCTGGTTTATTGGAATAGTAATAGGTATAACTGAAAAGGCTACATAGATGACTTACAGTCTTAACAGCATCAATGATTATTTTTCTTCCTAGCTAGCTCCCGAGCCATCTCCCTTAATTCCTCTGGTGATGGAGGTCTTGGTCCCTCTGGAGGATACACGACATAGGAACGCTTCACATCAAAGGAAAACAAAAATGATTTAGACTCCAATAAGAAATCATCTAGTGCCAAAGAAAGGGTATAGATCAAAGGTAACACATCCAATCCTTGACAAGCGAATGAGCCCCGATTCAAGAACTATATTCTGAAGTAGGTAGATACACAAGTAATCTTTATAAAGCATCAATATGATTCTGGTTAGAAGTAAAATTAGAGAAAAAACTATTGCAGCAAATCACTATTTTAGACATTCCGATCTGCAGGCAATGTGGATTTACAGTATTCCCATTTATCGCCACACTCTCTCTATAAGACCTTAACAAGTTGTCTATCCAATCATCAAACAACAAACGAGATTTTATTGTAATTAAAAAAAATGGTTAAGAAAATCCATGCATATTTTTTAACATCAACCAGAAGAAGCTACATGCAGAAAAAATGGAAAGGCATCTTGTACAAACAAGATTCTTCAACCATTGAGGATGACGTGAAATTTTGAACCAAAAGCCTGGTAAGAAATTTTAGTGACAATAATGGAGCATAAGATAATTTTCATTTCATATTCTTATTCTAGCTCCATAAACTGAAAGCTAAAAGCCAAACAAATTTCTTAGACCAGAAAATCAAACTGTTGACAATCCTTATTCGAAAGATAGTTTTCAATGCCAGGTAGATAATATTATGAACCTCCAACTCCATGGGAAAGAGCAAAATCTTTGAAGCTATACGTAGCGGCTTGCCGACTAATCGTTAAGGTTCCATTAGTCCACCGTCATAAAGTTCTAATAAATAGCACAGGCTTGAACTAAACAACGTTTTGGGACTCCGTGACAGGTATAGCTTCAAGTTAAAGATTTCAACAACACAACAAAACAACATGAGCCTTTTCCCGCTGTGTAGCTAGCGTTAGCTACATGTCAGCGATCATTTCACTTTTATACAAGTACAAGATGAATTTTTATCCATGAACTTTACATAACATGGCCCCAAAAGTATGCGTTTAATTTCAAATTCCACTTGATACATTTTCAACATGTTAAGGGGGGCTAGGAGAGGAACCATTACAGATTTCCATTTACTATCTCAACCAACAAACCAAAACATTGCTTTTATCCAAACACCTATGCCAGAATCCAGAAAGTTAACATAAATATAAAGACCACCGATCCCTCCAACAACCGAAGGCCAATAACCAAACTACCCATCAAAAAGAGTTGCAACATTTAACAACACATCATATTCAACAGCAACAAAATTATCTGAGCTTTAAATACAACTCCAAACAAAACAGGAAAAGAAAATATTAAATTCCTCCAAACAAACAAGAAAAAAAAAACCCAAATTTGAGGAAAATCAAACAAGTATGAAACTTGAACAGAATTTCAAGCCTAACCCAGATCAAAATATCTCAGTTACTCACAAAATTCAGCAAATCAAGCAAATCCCTCGAACTAAAAATAATAAAAAAAAGCAACAATAATTCTTTATTATTTATATATAATGAAGAGAAGAGATAGAAGAGAGTTTACATTTCCCATAAATTTCTGGAGATTCTTGGTGTTGTTGGCGAAAGCGTGCATAAGAACGATAGGAATTCCAACATAGAGACCAAATTTGACAATTTCAAGAACACCCTTTGAAGTGCCTAGAGAAGACATTTTCCTTCTTTTTCTTTTTTTTTTCCTCAGAAAATTTGATGGGAATTTGGAAGAAAATTTCTACTGAACTTCTGCAAAACCCTTCTTGGCGATTTCAAGGGAGTGCAAACAAATGAATTGTGAGGCGGAAAACTTGGATATGTCATATACTATAATGGGTCCGTTCCAGTAAGAAAGATATTAATGGGCTGAGGGCTCCAAAAATGATGGCCCAAATATACAAATATGGCCCACAAAATGAATTTTGCCCAAATTTATTATATCTATACTAATATTTTTTTAGAAAATATCTATATTAATATTAAAATTTAAAATTAAAACTAACCGTGGTCAATTTACTTGAAGAATTTACCAAAAATAATTAATAAAATAAAAAATAAATATGTATTAATAATGCTATAATTTTAATTTAATTTGCCTTAAAATTATAGGAAGAATTTATATTTTAAAATCGACTTTATACACTTTTTCTTCATTTTAAAAACCTGCACTATAATTATCCATTTTTTCCCTCCTCTATATATTTTAAAATAATAATAATTTTTTTTATTCTCTTAATTTTTATGTAAATAATCAAAATTTTTATTTATTTCATTAAAAAGTGAGTGTGTATAAGTCAAATTTTATATAAAATCATTATAAGAAAATTTATGTCATGCAAGTGAAATTTTTAAAATCTACCCACGATCTCATTAGGATATGTTTAACAAATTAAAATATTAATATAATAAATAAAATAATACATAACAATCTTTTAATCCAGTTTATGAAGTTTAAAAATGCAACAAAATATTTTGATATATATATATATATATTTTTTTTTACTTTCCATTGAGAAACAAAGAAAAAAAATCAATCAAATAGGGTCCAACACCGTGTTTGGTAAGAGAAGAAGAAGGTCAAAGGGAAATTTACTTTCTTTTCATCGTTTCCTTCATTTGATATAAGAAAAATAAAAAGATGAAATGAAAATGAGTGTGTTTGTTCCTTTTCTCCCTTCCCTCAAAATTCAACGCTTCCAAATGTAAGAGAAAACGCTTATTCCACTTAAATTAATAATTTTATTTATAATTTTACCTAAAACATTTTTTTCCTCTATTTTCTTTCTATCTTTCTTATCAAACACAATAAAAAATAAATTTTCTTCCTTTTCTTTCCTTTTTTTTTTTCTTTTCTCACCCTTTTTTTCATTCATTTTACTTCATTCCTCCTAAACATAATGTAAATGTTTTTTTTTTTTTAATTTGGCATTAATAAATATTATAAAATTAAATTTTATCTTGTTGCTTATTTTTCACTATTGTTGCTTTTTTTTAAGGATAATGTTACAAATAATTCTTAAACTATAATAAAATATTTAATATGATATTTAAATTTTAAAAATTTTTAATGTGATATTTAAACTATAAATTTTGTTAATTAAAATATTTAGAGAATTATTTGTATATCACATATTATTATTTGAAGTTAACCATATTAGAGTTAAGTATTATATTAATGAATAAATTCATAATTTAAGTATTATATTAAAAATTTAAAATTTAAATATCACATTAAATATTGTAAATTAATTTTTATCTTGTTTTTTATTTTTACTTTTATTTTTTTAAAAGATAATGTTACAAATGATTCTTAAATTATAATGAAATATTTAATGTGATATTTGAATTTTTAAAATTTTAATGTGATATATAAATTATCAATTTATTAACTAATATAATATTTAAAAAATTATTTATCTATAGCATATTATTATTTAAAATTAATCAAATTAAAATTAAAAATTAAATTAATTAATGAATTAATAATTTTAAAATTACATTAAAAATTTTTAAAATTTAAATATCATATTAAATATTTTACTATAATTAAAAAAAAATTTTTTTTTTTCATCATTTTAATGCTTGACAATCGCCTTAGTGAATTGGAATGGGCCTGTAATTAAGCAAGTTCACAATCATTACCGCCCATAAATGTTATAATTACTAATTTGGGCTCAGCAATCTTTGGACAAACATGTGTTTTAAGTTGTTGTACTTTGACGGAAAAAAGCTTGGGAGACTAAAACACGTGACACTGCAATTTGCAGAGCCAGTAATCGTCATGCAAATGATTTCATTTCAATTATGTCACTTTTGGTTTGAAAAATAGAAAAAAACTTGGTCTTGAAATTTGTCAGAACAAATTACTTAATTCCCATCGCACACTGGACTTTCAAGTCTTCAAAACCACTCACCTGGATCTTGCCTCAATCTCTATTACTTTATTATGAATCTTAGGTTCTAGGCGGTGCATTTAATTAGCATGAGATTAAAAATAATAATATAAATTATTATAATTATAATTTTAAAAAATTATTATAATTATGATTAAAAAAATTTAATAAATTTAATATTAATTTAATTTCGTTAAAATTAATATTTGAATTCAACTAAAAATATAATAAATTTAATTATATTATATTAAAATACGTAAAAATCAAACAAAAACTTAAAAGATCAAATTAATAATTCCACTAAATATAATGATAAAATTCCCTTCTTTTTTAAATTAGTTGTGCGATTTTATCTCATACTTGTTCATAAACTGAATAACTCATCAAATGTGTAAGCTTAATTTGACTTGAATTGGGTTTTAGATGGGATTTTTTAGATAAATTTAGCTAGAAATATTATTTTAAAATATATTTTAAAATATAAATAGTAATATATTGATATTTTAAAATAGAAAAAAATTCAAATGAGCAGATTTTAGCATATCAACTCAGATGTGAGCTTCACATTTAAAGATATCAATCAAACCTAATTTAGCCGGACCAACTGATGCTCCGTTTTATTTCGTATATAGGAACCACTATTTTTACATGATAATTTATAATAAAGTACTTGAAAAATGCGTCCCATAATATTTGAAGGAAGTACTATAGTGTCTAAAAGGAGATACAACGAGCAAGGGTATAAATAGATAAGGTACGGGATTGGTAGAATATTTTTTATTTTATTTTTAAATTTTTATATTATATCTATAAGATATTTAATAGGTATGAATAATCTTTATATTTATAAATTTTAAAAAATAAAAATAAAAATAAAAATTTATTTTTTTATTTTTATCTTATTTACTTGTGTAATTTTTTATAAATATATTTAAATAAAAATATATTAGTTTTAATTAATTTAAAATAATAATTTATATTATTTAATAAAAAATTTATTTACTACATATATATACATGTTATTTATTATCTGTATATGTCTCGAATCTAATAAAAAAAATTAAAATTATACTCATTTCATTTTTATTTTTCTCTTCATAATATAATATCCATCCCATTTACATTTGATTAAAAGAATAAAATTTTTATTCAATATAAGTAAAATTAACACTACACTTGCGTTCATCCAAGAGCAACCAATGCAATATTGTTTCCCAATAGTATTATCGTTTAAGATTTTAGGAATTGATTTAAATTAGAGTATAATCTATTGAATTTAAATCAATACAATATTAAGTTTAAGTTTAAGTTCAAACTCAATTCGAGATAAAAATTGAATTATTCAAACTCATTCAATTAACATATAAAAATAAATTTAATTTTTATATTCATAAAAAATTTGATTATTTGTATTCAAATTTGAACTCGAATTTAATATATTTTATTAATTAAAATAATTAAAATATATTAAAAATATAAAAATTTGATTAAATTTATGAATTATTTAAATTAAATATAAAAATATTTAAATTTAACTCGATTGATTAATCGAGTTATTTAAATTTAAACTCAATCATATAATAATCAAACTGAATTTAAATTTTATTTAAATTAAATTCAAATAACTTATAAATATTAATACAACATTTAAGCTCTAAAAAAGTAAGATACGAAGGAGAGGGAACAGTCATTGCGACAATGGCGAAGAAATGGGACACCAAACATTGCCTGTTTCGGTCCCCATGCCCGCAAAAAGTCCGTAAATTGGCCAAGTGGCCGTCAAGTCGTATTTGTCCTTTCATTCAAAGAAGGAGACGATATACATTGCATTGATTTGATTTATACTTGCGTGTGAGTTTAACTTTTAGTTCAAGATTTTTTAGGTATCTCATCGTTAGTTAATTAAGGGTATGTATACCAAGTAGTTTGAACCAGTTTTTCCTATAATTTTGATTCAACTTATATTATTTAATCTCCGATGCTATATTGAAGAAAATATTGGATTTGAATCACTTGGAACTAAGGTTTGTTAAAATTGACCACATTCATAAATATAAGATAGTTATAAGATTTTACGAAACAAACATCTTATAAAAATAAATGATATTGAAATGGTTTATATGAGTGTATATTTGAATGTACTGAATGAGAATAAGAAAGTTTATATAAATACCATAAATATTTGATTTAAGATTAATTTAATTGTATATTAATAATTCTTTATAATTATTGATTTTTTTTTTACCAGTGGATGTATGCTACGTTAGGTTGGATTAAAGCACATTAAATTATTGTATTTTACGTGGATAATTTATAATTTGATTATATTTCTGTTTGTTGAAATATTCATTAATTAGTGATTTTTGACCTAATAATTTCCTTGTTTAGAAGTTATTGAATATCATTAGTTATTTAAAGGTTAATAAATATTGTTAATTATTTAATTACGCTGTCAATATCTTAAATAAAAACAATATGTAAAGTTATCAAGAAAATTATTTTAAAAAGATAACATTCAGTAGATCTAATATTTAAATTTTAATACGAACATTCTTTTTCTTGTGTTCTATTCAAACTGTGACCTTTTTGATAAAAAGAAAAAATCATTTCAAAAGCTTAAACTTAAAACCAAAGGGTTCCAAAAATCTAATAATGCCATTCGGAAATTCAAGATTTGAAGGAGCATCTACCTTCTTGATTGCATCAATACTCATTTCTTCCTAGCTACAATGTTTGCCTTGTCCTTTTCTTTAAGGTTCAACTTATGAAAAGATTATTCATTAATCAATTGTCTATATAAATATTATATTATTATGGACATCAAATTTGTTTGGCCTTGATCAAATTTAATTTTTTATTAAATAATATATATTAATAAGATACTAATATTATTATTAAATACAATAATAAAAAA